CACTAATGCCAAGGATATCAATCTTTATGCATTCCATTTCATTTTTGACAACTTCCAATTTTCCTAGATTCATACTTCATACATTCCATGTTCCAATCTAAGTCATTAGAAGAAATAAACTCTAAATAAAACCCAACAATTAAAAACAAAGCCCTGCAGGGACTTCCAGTAAAATGGAGGAATAGGCAGACAAGTGACACAGACCGTCTTCAACAAAGAAAAGAAAAATCAATTGACAGAGATACAGAAGATAATCCTGGAGCCCTGAGCTTGAAAGGAACTATGCAGAAGTGGATTAGTCACAAACTAGTGGAAAAACCTGAACAAAAACAGTGAGTACAGAGACAGTCAGAGCTATGAACTGTCAGCTACTCTGACAGGACCAACAGCCTGAATATTTCTAAGTGGTGTTGGGGCCTGAGAATTGACCTAAAGATCAATCCTGGTCACCAAGGGCTGCAGGAATGACTATGCTGGTAGCCTATGACTAGGAAGGGAAACAGCAAGGAGGGAGACAACTTGAGCTGTTGACTTTCTCCTGTCTGGAGGGCACAAGTCCTCTTTGGTCTTCCTTATTCATTGTTCAGCTCTCACAGGCACATGAAGAAATTGAAAATACCATGGCTTGGGTTAGGTGCACCTTAGTCTTCAAAAGAGACATCTTTGCTCTTCAGCACTTGAAAAAGGTCCTCTGCAGCTGATCTGCCCAGTGTTATACGTCATCTGATGTCCTGACTGCTGCTTCCATTGGTGTTGATTATAGAACCAAGGAATATGAAGTCTTTGACAACTTCAATGTTTTCTCCATTTATTGTGATGCTGCTTATTGGTCCAGTTGGGAGGATTTTTGTTTTCCTTACATTGAGGAGTAATCTATACTGCAGACTGTAATCTTCAATCTTCATCAGTAAGTGTCTCAAGTCATCCTCACTTTCAGCAAGCAAAGTTGTGTCATCTGCATAGCACAGGTTGTTAATGAGTCTTCCTCCAATCCTGATGCCATGTTCTTCTTCATATAGTCCAGCTTCTCAGATTATATGCTTAGCATACAGATTGAATAACTATGGTCAAAGGATACTACCCTGACACACTCCCTTCCTGATTTTAAACCATGCAGTAACCCCTTTTTCTGTTTGAATGATAGCCTCCTGGTCTATGTACAGGTTCCTCATGAGCACAATTAAGTGTTCTGGAATTCCCATTCTTATCAGTGTTATCCATAATTTGTTATGATCCACATAATCGAATGCTTTTGCATAGTCAATAAAACAGAAGTAAACATCTTTCTGGTATTCTTTGTTTTCAGCTTATCATGCCCTATGGTCAGAATAAAGGCCACAATCCCGTCATGGCCTATGCTACACTACCTCAAAGTAGGGAAGTATTAGGTACTCTAAGTTGTGGTTGAAGGGTTAAGTGGGAAAGACATCTAGAGAGAATAGCTGAGAGGTTTCATCAGAGTAGAGCTTGAAACGCCCTAATGATTACAACAGGAAGATGAGGAGTCATACATACCTTGTTTTCTACCTTGTGAGAATACTTTACTTCCCTCAAATAAATGGTAAACGGTTACTCATAAGATTGTAATAAACTCTATTTTCAGAATTTGGTAGGTTATCATTAAAAGTTTCTTTGTTCCAAGTTGGGATAACTTCTTATCCATAACTAAGCACCTTAACAGAGTGAGTTGCTGGGCCTGTGGGCTGGGGATAACAGCTGTGTGGGGCATCAAGCTTAATTGGCACAACATAGTACACAAAAATTTTGTTCTACATTTTACTTTGGTGAGTAGCGACTGGGGTCTTAAAAGCTTGCAAGTGGCCACCTAAGATGTAACTATTGGTCTTTTCTCCTCTGGAGAAAAGAAGAGTGAAGAAAATCAAAGATGCATGGGAAGAGTCTGAAGGACTAATAGACCATGACACCTGCAGCCTATATGACCCTGAGACCAAAAGAACTAGATGGTGCCCAAATACCAATGCCAACCACTAGGAAAGGGATCAGTGTAGGAGATTCTGGATAGAGTGGGAGAAAAAATGTGGAATAAAATTAGAAAACATATAAAAGACCAAGTTTACTGATCTAATGGAGACTGGTGAAACCCAAGACTGTGGTCCCAAGTCACCCTTTGGGCCTGGAACTGAACTCATGTCTGTGGCTTAACCCTCAGCCAAACAATAGATAAGCCTATAAGCCAAACAACTATACCAGGGAGACACACTCCTTAGAACAGTCAGATTGGGAGATCAGAGGGCAGCATTTGCACAGGGAGAAAGCTAGGGAGGCAGGAATGCATAGGCAAGAAGGACACAGGGAAAGGGTAACGACAGGGAGGAGGGGGGAAGTGAGCTGTTACACTGCAGGGAATGTAATCAGTGTCACAAAACAAAATGTGTATGAACTCTTGAATGTAAAACTAATCTGCTTTGTAAAATTTCACCCAAATTATTAAAAAAAAAAAATGTTTCTTTGTTCTGTGATAAAGAAATAACTTTATATCCTTAATTCACTTTATCAGTGAAAAAAGCAAGTTTGAACACATGCTAAACTCTACTTTAGTTACTAGTAAAGAAAATGTGTAAAAGTCTTATTAGACACAAGGTGAAAATAGTCAAGGAACTAAAAAATTAACCTCCAAGAAAAGTAACCAGTTAATACTTACAGAGGCTCGACTTGTTGTCTTCAATAAAACAGCTAGCAAACAACAAGTTTTTGTGAAAATGCTTCCACCTTTGTCTGCCACTTTGTCACCAGCCTTTTCTCGGTACATCTGCAAAAGCTCCAATAATGTATCTATACAATTTTCTACATCATAAACTGCTGAAGTAGTTTTTTCATACTTAAAGAAAACAGAATGAAATTAAAAATTATGATAAATTAAAATAAAAAATTAGAGTCAGATTTTTGTTACATTTGCAGCAAGTACAAAGGACTTCATGAATGACTTTCTGATATTACTATCACCTCTGAAAGGAGCTCTGATGGCACAATCCCCAAGGCATTTGACTGATAACCAGAAGGTTGGCAATTCAAATCCACCAGTTTCTCTGTGGAAGGAAAGTGAGGCAATCCACTTCCATAAAGATATATTGCCTTGGAAATCCAAAGAGATTCGCTATGAGTTGGAATCAACTTGATGGCAATGGTTTTTTATTTCTTTCTTTAATCATCTCTGAATTCTATTTATTAGGCTATCCTCATTTTCATTTTTTCCCTCCTCACTTACTTTTAACGTTCTAATGAAATTAAATGAATTAAATCTAAAATCTCTTAAAATGAACACATTGAAGTAAATAAAAGCAAGCTTTTACAGATACTATAATTTTAGTAAGAACCTCTCAGAAAAAAGATAACTCATCTATGATATGTAATGATAAATTTAAGATCTAATTTATTATACTATTACTACATGTCTTCTTGAGAGGGAAATAAGGTTCCTTTAAAAGAAAATAAATTAGATACTAATATGACTAGGATATATTTTCCATGGTTCAGTTAGTTATCTCACTGCTTTACCATAAAATTCATAGACAAATTTACTTAGAACAAATAATAATACTATCTATAAAAATAAGAACAAAATAAGATTAATAGCTAACACATATGTAACACTTCTATATATCAAGTAAAAGAAGCTCTGGTGATACAGTGGAAAAGGCATTCCAGCTGCAAATCAAAAGGTTGGCAGCTTGAACCCACCAGCTGCTCCATGGGAAAAAGATGAGATAGTTTGCTTCTGTAAAAATTTGCAGCCTTGGAAACTCTATGGGGTAGTTCTACTCTGTCCTATAGGCTCACTGTGAGTCAGAATCAACTCAACAACAGTGGGTTTGATTTTTTTGGTTATGCATCAAGTACTTCAGGTACATTAACTCATTTAATCTTCACAATAACCTTCTAAGGTGGGTACTACTAGAACATTCATTTTACAACTGAGGAAAGTGAAGCACAGAGAGGCCAAATAAACTGCAGTAATCTGCTGCAGAGCTTTGATATACATCCAGGTAGTTTGGCACCAGAGTCTGTGTTCTTAGACTATGCTACACTACCTCAAAAAAAATAAAAATAAAAAACTTGAAAGGTTAGGTGGGGAAGACAAATCTGTCATCTGTCATTTCAATACATTTAGTTGAACCCAATGTAGTTTGGTATCTATCTATCTATCTATCTATCTATCTACTAAACAAAAGCCAAAAGATTTAAAAATTCTCATATATACAGCATTATCTAGCAATATCTCTATCATGTTTTGCCAAATATGATTATAATGAAGTTCTACTATTTCAATACAATATAGTGGCTAAGACCAACTACTCTGGTGTCAGAAATGGAGCCTAAGGCATCTGGCGGCTAACCAGAAAGCTGGCAGTTCAAACCCACCAGCCACTCCTTGGAAGGAAGGTTGGGCAATCTACTTCCATAGTGATACC